TGAGGCAATTAATTGATTGCCTTATCCGAAATATGTGGTTTGTTTGGTTGCTCTTGAATGATTGTGTAGAATCAAGCAAGGAGCATGTTTTGCATGATGAACCACAAAGATGACTACCCAAATTATGACTGTCGCAAGAGTTAATTTGCCTCTTGAATTTAGATCGTACTAATATATCACGAAGGTTAGGTGGTCTACGATAGGCTATGAACGGTGTATCCGGAAAAACAGACCTAAGACGTTCTGTGGTCTGTAGAATGGGCATATGTTTCTGAATTATAGCCCTTAGTAGTGGTAACCTAGGGTGATAGGTAGTGACCAGTGGCACTCTGGTCGATCGCTGACGTGGTTTGTACGTCAGTGTTTGAGCACGAGGTATGTCCTTTGCTTTTTTTTTTACAGCATTTTCGATGGGTCCTCGATGATAATTTCTATTCCGGAGATGTCCGGATAGCTCTTCTGTGCGATTCTGAAAATCTAAATCCGAAGAACAAATGCGTCTCATGCGCTATGCTTGGCTGTACGGAATGTTTTTTGTACAGTGCGGGGGATGACAGCTGCTAGGGAGCAGGTACATATGCTTATCCGTGGGTTTACGGAAGAGATCAGTTTTGAATGCACCATTTTCCATGGTCACGGTGATGTCCAGAAAATCTACACTGCTTGTGGATTTGTTAGCAGTGAATTTGATTGTGGGATGAGCCGAATTAATGTTCAATAGAAACGTATTTAAACTATCTTCACCATGGGTCCAGATCATGAAGATATCATCAATGTAACGAAACCAAACGTCTGGTTTCTTGGGCTGTAGGGACAGGAAATTGGCCTCAAATTGTCCCATAAATAAGTTAGCAAAAGATGGAGCCATTTTAGTGTCCATCGCTGTGCCATGAATTTGAAGGTAATGACCGTCGCCGAAAACAAAGTTATTATTGGTCAGAATCAGCATGATAAGTTCACGGAGATGTGATTTAGAGCGGGTTTTGGCCCGAATTTGCTTGTAATTTGAAATGCACGCATTAACACCTTCTTCATGAGGGATATTAGTATATAATGACGAAACATCAAGTGTAGCCAGGACAGTATTATTAGGTAAATTTGAAGTTTGGTTAATTTTGCGGATAAAGTCCATGGAGTCCTGAATGTACGAGGGGAGAGCAACAACATATGGTCTCAATAAATCATCCACATATTCAGAGATTTTTTCTGTAGCAGTACCGTTGCCCGAAATGATGGCCTGCTTTGTGGATTTTGGGTAGGACATAGAAACGTCCTGGTGCCGGATCGACCTGGATGAGATGGGGTCCAATTTTGGGATCGATGGAACCTTTTTTAACCATCTTAAATACCGATTTTTCCACTTCCTTAGAAATTTCCGGAGTGAATATGACATCATGTATATATATATGATGTCATAATTAAATCAAACAAATATTTAATCCCGAATCGATGGTATGTATTTCGATACTTGGAGTATGTATACTATCTTATCTGAGATTAATCAGTGGATCTTTCAGTTTTCAAAGTTACTTTAAATCATTTAAACATGTAAACAAAACCAGCATATCGTCTCACCTGTATTTGTTATTAAAGGAACTCTCTCTGAAACAATAACAGATATAAGATATATTACTAAAACAACAATGTAACGCTTTCAGTCTTAAAGAATTATGTGCACACGCTTTCAATAAAATTCTAACTGATCCAAATAAATATGGATGGGTGGAAAAAAGAATAAATAAATCAAGGTTTAAGGTTCGATTTATTGATCAATACTTTACATGTAAGGTATTTATAATGATGAATAAACAGATCATTAAGCTCCGATGCAATGAAAGGCAGAACAAGATATGGTATGAATAATTAAGTAAATGAAGGATGTTATTATTATTAATAAGAAGATTATGGCTTTTTTTTTAAATTGTTATAAATTAATCTTTTAATAATTAAACAACAACTCTTACCATCTTGATTTTTTCTGAGACTATTGTGGCTTGTGGATATATCATCCGTCGTTCTAATTAACCCTTTTAAGTACAAAACAAAATTGTTTTTGCTGAATGAATGATAAAAAAGGACGTGAGTGAAAGCATAACTATAATTACAATTAAATACTTTATAATTTACTTTTCCCAGTATTACTGGGAAAAGCCAGTGCTTTTGTTATGATTTTTTTTCTTTTTTTCTTGAATATATTTTTCTTATCTTTTTGCACTGTTTCTTTTTTTCTGGCCGTCATTTTTGTCACTTCCCATTCTTAGAATTATTCTGTGCTTTGCCGAAGCATAGGCCATATATCAAAGATGTGCCTCCTAATATTTAGTGTCAATCTATGGTGAAGCGTGCGTGTGAGAACCAATTAAAGTGATTTAAGGTCAAACAGTCTACACCAGTTATTTCAAAAACCGGTCAGTTGATCTAAATGAAACTTACGGGAAAGTTTAAGTTACAAGGAAGAAATGTTTATGTGTTAGTGACGGTCCAGTGAAGGGTGTAAATTTGAGGGTCTTTTCAATTTTTGAGGACCCAGACCTAAATATCTCTTTAAAAAAGCTATGGGTCTAAATGTAACATTCTATAATACTTTGTAAAGGTCTTGTAAAAAAAATGATTACATTTTTGTGACGATCCCCAGTATGGTGTGGATCTGAGGACCATTTAATGGAAAACGTCCCAGACCACATATTTCCAAAACAGATCAACTGATCTGAATGAAACATTCGGAAAAAGTTTAACCTAGTTACAAGGAAGAAATTATTATGTGCTGGCGACGAATCAGTCAAGGGTGTAATTGGTAGAGTCATTTTAATTTTTGAGGTCCCAGATCTAAATATCTCTTTAAAAAAAATCAATGGGTATAATTTAAACCTTGTATAACAGTTTGCCAAGGTCAAGTAAAGAAAGGATAAAATTTTTGTTCCAATCTGGAGTAGGGTGTAGATTACAGGACCATTGAAAGGAGAACGTCCCAGACCACATATTTCGAAAACGGATCAACTGATATGAATGAAATATTCGGAAAAGTTACAAGGAAGATAGTATTATGTTAAAGTTACAAGGAAGATATTATTATGTGTTGGCGACGAATCAGTCAAGGGTGTACATTGAAGGGTCATTTAAATTGCTTTCGTCCCAGTTATAGATGGATAAAAATGACACTTTGCAGAATGGTTTTTCATGGTGAAATGAAGAAATGTTCCAATTTTGGTGACGATCCGCAGTAGGGTGTTGATATGAGGATCATTTAAAAATTTTTTGTTGACAGCAATTTAAACTTTATTTCTCATTAAAGCAATAGCGAAAAGCCCTATGTTCTGTTGATCAAAAAGACATAGTAAATCTAGGTTTATCGTTCATTATCATTGCTATGATTATGACTATCACTTTTACTATTACTATTATTATTATTATTATTATTATTATTATTATTATTATTATTATTATTATTATTATTGTTGTTTGAAGGTTTGCATGGCGAAGTATAGCATCAATCTGAAAGCAGATTGGGATGATCCACTGCCTGCACACATTAAATATGAATGGGAGTTATGGAAAGCAAGTCTACGGAAGTTGGAGTTATTGCATATACCAAGAACTTATCACAAAATTAAAAGAAAGGAAGTAGTGGATTCAACTGTACATGTGTACTGTGACGGCTCGGAGCAGGTTGTTGCAGCGGTGGCGTTCTTAAAGACAAACAGTATTAAGGGGACCGAAGTTGGATTTATAAAAGGGAAGTCACGCATATCTCCTAGACAAGGTCATACAATTCCCCGTCTCGAACTCTGTTCTGCTGTGCTTGCCACAGAATTAGCCAAAGTAGTGACCACAGAGATAGACTTTCCCCCCAACAGTAATACTTTCTATTCAGACAGTAGGATAGATCTGGGTTACCTTAACAACAACAATCCATGAGACTTCATACGTATGTAGCCAATAAAGTTGAGAAGATAATATCTTTCTGCGAACCGCACCAATGGCACTACATATCGACAGAATCCTGTAGATCTAGATATATTGATACTTTGAGAATGCAGACTTGCACTTGGCTTACTGGTCCCCAGCATTTACATCTAATGAATGAAGAGGAACAAGTAAAGTTTCCTCTCATTGACCCTGACAATGATAAGGAAATCAGGAAGGAAAATGTAACTGTAAGTAAGACAGTGATATGCAAATGCTGAGTAAAGAGAAACTGAAACGCTTTTCATCATGGTCAAGCTTGACACGAGCTGTTGCATACTTGAAACATCAAGGTAGAAACTTCACCGAAGGTGCCATAAGAGACGCTGGTTGCTTGGTAACAGGCTGCAAAAGGCCAGTGTTGTCTGTCATACACAATGTATCATTTGTCGTAAACTAAGAGGCGAGCTGAGTTTTCAGCGTATGGCAAACCTTCCAGAGGAGCAGTGGCGTATCAGCTTTTTGTGGGGGGCTGTTACCAAGCCCCCCACTCCTTGGATACGCCACTGCAGAGGAGCTACTAACACCAGGGCCTCCATTTGGCCAAGTTGGTGTAGACTGCTTCGGTCCCTGGCAAGTTTCTTCTAGGAGAACTAGAGGTGGTATTTCACAAAGCAAATGCTGGGGAGTGTTATTCACTTGCCTATCTTCAAGAGCTATTCACATTGAGGTCGTAGAAAAACTCAGCACGTCATCCTTCATAAACGCACTACGCCGATTCATTGCTATTAGAGGCAAAGTTAAGGCGTTATGGTCAGATCAAGGAACTAATTTCATTGGGGCTATCAACGATGAACACCTGCAGACATATTTACTCAAGAATGGTGCAGAATGGAAACTCAATCCTCCACATGCCTTTCATAATGGAAGGGGCATAGGAACGAATGATAGGCGTGACCAGGAGAATCTTACTCTCTCCTTTTGGATTGTAAGAGCAGAACGTTAACACATGAAATACTAACAAGTTCATGGCTGAAGTTATAGCCATAGTAAATTCACGCCCACTAATACCATTATCATCAGACCCATAAGATGCGGCAGTGTTAAGCCCGTCTATGTTGTTGACCCACAAGAGTGGTTGTGTCGAAGAGATGGTTAGCGACAAATACACCAGCACTATGTATTGAGCCCATTGGAAAATGGTACAATGTTTATCAGATAATATCTTTATCAGATAATATAATAATATTCGAGAATTTGAAAGTAATCGTTTTGGAAGAAGTGGAAAATCATTACTTACAAATTCTCGAACAAAAGCAAAAGTGGTGTACTGACCAAAGGAATTTCCAGGTTTCCGACGTAGTCCTGCTTCGAGATAACCAGGCAAAGAGAAACCAGTGGGCTTCGAGATAACCAGGCAAAGAGAAACCAGTGGGCGACTGGCATTATCACACAAGCATATACTAGCGACGATGGAAGAGTGCGAAAAGTAGAAGGTCGTGTTCCATCCTCAAAGAGCACATATACAAGACTAATTAATGAACTTGTGTTATTGTTAGAATCTGAAACTTAAGTTCTTGAAGAACTTTTGATAATTGGATTGGATTGGATTGGATTTATTTAGTGTAAACACCAAGAATAGCCCACGAAAGTCTAGAAGAAGACTTGTTTCCAGTGGGGTCCCTCTGGTGGTGATTGAACAGTACAACGGGAGACAATCCCCTACTCTTTTCCGTAGAGTGTACTGCGTTCTTTAACGTGCACATGGGTCATAAATGCACACGGGACCAACGGCTTAAACGTCTCTTCCGAAAGACGGTGCGCTATTGTAACTTGTATTTCAGCCCTCTAGCTGAAACACAAGGAGAGCGATGGGAATTAAACAGGGGACCTAGAGATCTCCACGGTTCGGCGCACACACAGTGGCTACCACCAGATTAGCCGACTGAGCTAAGCTGCTCTCTAATGTGAAAATAATTACAGTATGTGAAATTGTTAAAATACTTATGTGGATGATAATGTGTTTTTTGAATTCCAATGATTTAACTGAATAGAGCATATTATGCCTTGATTCATAATTTGCATTCTTATTGTTTGGGTGATGTGTTGCGACACATTAGGCTAGGAGTGTAATGTCTTTACCATTGTTGTTTATTGTGTTCTTGGAAGTGAGCCCTCTTTGGGGCGCTTTCAGCTCAACTTGTTAAATGGTAGAATGGTACCTTATGTTCTGATGTAAATATAGTTAAATTGTTAGTTTCAAACTTGCATATGTTTTAATAAAGTCATATTGTCAATATGGTTATGTGCTAGAAATAACGCTGTACTCTAGCTTAGTATTGATTATAGATATTTGTGCTTGTTATGGCACGAATTTATATGAGCATGTCTAGCCTAGCTTTTGACACAGTATGCATGGACGTGCACCAATAAGTCCGCTTGCTGTGTGAGCAAAGATATGACCTTTGACCTAGGGCAGTAAACTTTTTGGATGTGCTAGCCTAGCCTTGTTTTGATAATGTTTATAAAGGGTAATGGCTATTTTGAATATCCTCTTGGAAATTGCTGCATTACCCAGCTATGTTATTTTATTATATTTTTAGAGATAATTTCTGTACTATCTTTGACTTTGATTATTGAATTATTTGCAGCTTGATAGCCAGTGATCGTGGATACGTCTTGAGAGGACAGCGCAGTTTATGTAAGAAAGATAGTGTACATGCACGTGCACATCCTTGTACTGTATTTTATACATTTTTAGTGATTTTTGGGTTATGTCTTTTTAGCATCTATTGCTTGTTGTTTTGCAATTACCAATAAATGTTCAAATGAATGAAAAGTGAACACGGTTACACGACTGGATTTCAATATTGTCTTGTATTGTCGGGCCAGTACAATTTATATATAGTAAACATTACCTTATGTTAGTAGATATTTTATACCATGTTTTTTGAAATTAATATACGCTTGTCTTATTAAAATTGTTAATTATTGCGCAAATATTGTGAGCTCAAAGGCGGGCAAGGTGTCCATTTCTCTTTCTTGTGACGCTTGGCCGGACTGTTCAAGGTAGTGAGGGGATTCGCCACGCCTATGCAATTTGAATGAATGAATTATGAATAAAATGAGGAATAGGGGAATAAATGTTCACAATATTTTAACAATAACAAATAGCATAAATTACTTGGGCCCCATGTAAAGCTATTTATCTGAGAGCATAAGCTTTCAATTATTCTAACTGATCCAATCTTGTGATATTTGTTTGTTTTATTTCGATTCCATCATATATAAATACAAAAACTACAGGATTCAGGACGATCCAATTAATCAAAACGGAAGAATTAGTTTTCAATGGGGCCCTCACTTAAAATTAACAATACTAAAAAGAAAAATAATAGGTATAGGTATTGAATAACATATAACTGACATGAATGAAGGATGGATAGGTACATGGATGGATGTTAACAACTAACAAATGTTCACAGTAGGCCCTACTTAAAAAAAAAAAAAAAAAAAAACATGGGCTCACTTATTTCCTTTTGATTTTCGCACGAATCTTTTTCGCTAAGCGTTTGACTATTGTGGTCCTTACTTGGCTGTTCATTTGCAAACCCTATTTAAAATAATAAAAAATACAATACATGTCATGATCTACACAGTATTATATACTAATTTATATCGTAACAATTTAATTAATAAATATTTTATATCCACTCACTGTGAAATATCACATGTAATTGGTCTGGTTATTATAGTTAAATTTAGGAAGTTGAAGCAGTAAATGTAATTCATATTCAATAATTAAATAGTTAAAATTAGAAGACAACGGTGCTGCAATTTATATTTATTTTTATAAATATTTCGATTCACTTAATTTTCATAAAGGGTTTGCTATAGAAGCTGTTGGAAGGTCTAGATCAATAATTTTGAATATAAAAAAACGCACATTTTTGTTTACTTACCATTTGAATACGTAAAGAACTGTACTTAGTTGCTTTTGTTCAGAGTGTGTGTGTGTTTTTTTTTAATAAGTTCAGGTTCTGGTGGGTAAAGCTGACCTCCTACAGACTCAAAAATAGGAGTATAACAAACCTGATAAAAATACGGGATAGAAATAAAGCCGAATAAAAGGTGCATCACCGCAGGTTAAGACGCGCGGCGTCAGTCATGAACAGGCTTGTCGTAACGTTACTGGCCAATGCTAAGGTAGGAAACTCATAATCTCAAGAGCATCGTTTTCGCAACAAAAAAAAAATCACGTTGAAAAATCCTTTTAGAAAAGAGTTAATTAGGATAATTTGGTCGAGCAGTTAAAAAGTGTTATAATAGATTTTTTTTTAGTAATTATAAACTTTCTTTATACCCGAAGTACAGCGCACATATCCCTTGCAAAAAATGTTCATATCAAACAAGGACTCTTTTTATTTTAAAAATTATTAATACCAGTAGTCTGTCACCAGGGTACATCAGCTGATGCTGCAATTTTGCTTTGGTTCTTTTAAGACGAACAAATTGATCCTAATGTTACGATTCTAGCTATAATTCGAATTACCTTTTCCTTAACAGGTTAGGGTTATACATCCTGACCAATCACCACGAAAATGTCTGTTTAAAAAGGTATATGCCGGCTAAATTATAAGGCCTTTAAGAAAACCAAATATGTAATTGATTTCACTGTTAAATCATTTCATAACACTAAAAGAACTTCAAACAGGTAAGTTTTCGTTTAATTAGTCTAGTTTACTCGTATTCTA